AAATTATTTTTAAAAAAGGGGAAACTACAAATGTGAAGGAAGTGAAATTTGACAACAGCTGTATAAAACACTCTATGGCATTTTTTACTATTGCTAATCTCATCTAGTGAGGAAGCAGAGGCAAGAGAACAGCAATTTCAAGGCCACCTGGGCAATTTAGCAAGGCCCTGTTGGAAAAAATAAAAGGCAAGGTAGGAAGCTGAGCAGTAGAGCACTTGCCTAGATCCACCCAAGGCCCTGGGTTCAATCTCTACTACTAGGAGTTTTCTTGTTTTTTACTGTAATCCAAACAAAGAACTGACTTAAGAATATCTGATGTGGTCACAAGTACTGATGAAGCTACTTTTTTTTTTTGCGGTACCAGGGATTGAATTTAGGACCTTGCACTTGCCAGGCAAGTGCTTATTATACTGAGCTATCTCCCCAGCCCGAAGCTACGTTTTTTAAAGAGCAGAATATATTTATTAGAGGGAAAAAAGCTTCTGAGAGACAAGGAGGTGTTACTGAGGACTCTGCCTTTTCTAGTTGTTTTGTTTTTTGATACAGGGTCTCACTATGCAGCTCAGACACAGTGATCCTCCTGTCTCAGCCTCCCCAGCGCAGGGATTACAGGCACATGTTACCATGCCCAGTTTTGGGGCAGGCATGGTATGCAGTAATCAGGATCAAACTGGGGTCCTTGTGCTTTCCAGGCAGGTGCTCAGACCACTGAGCTATCTCCCCAGCCCTCTAGGGATTTTTTATACAGCAAAAAACAAGAGGTAAGGTGAGTCCAAGGTGGGGGAAAATGGGAAATTACAAGGTTGGGATAAGGTGGGGCAAAAACGGTGGTCAACCAGTAAGATTATGAGCATAATGGCTTAGGTAATATTGATTAAATCAGGATCAAATGGGGAAGCGAGTCACTAGCAAGTAGACAGAAATACTGAAGAGGCTTTTCCTGTAGGGGGTTGAGTTAGTGGCTCCTCCTGGCTTTCTTAAGGTGATGATACCTATTTAAAGTATCAGTCACTGTATCCCTAAGGGATATATATGGGTATGTTTGTTTCAACTTTTGTGTTGAGGTCTGGCCCTCAGCTGGAGATGCCTCCCATCTTCTGTAATGGCTCCTGTGAGGTCCTAGCCCTGTCTGCCTGCCTATAATATTTCTACCTAACTTGTTTGTCTATAACGTTTCCCACTCTGAAGTACCCCGAACTGCCATGAGGAAGCAATGAGTGTTGACTGACATGGCTGATGAAGCCATTTCTTAACCAAGCCAGTAAAAAATGTCCTTTCGAATAACTAAACTATGGGCCAGCCAAACAGCTCAGCAGATTAAAGTGCCTGTTTAGGCAAATGCAGGGGCCAGGGGTTTGATCCCCGGGCCCACAGTGCTGGACCCTGCCCCAGGGGCGCACTGAGATGGCAATTGAGACTGGGCATGGTGGTGCGCACCTGTAATCCCAGCACTTGGGAGGCTGTAAATCACTACAAGTCCGATCTACGTAGTAAGACCCTCTATACCCTATACTAAAATAGATTTAAAAAAAAAACTACTAAACCACTAAAAATAAGTAGGAACTACCACTCCTACAAAGACTTGACACATGTATTCAGACAGCACCTCTTCTCATACCTGCAAAGCAGAGTTCATGAAGCAGGTGTTTCCCAGGTTTCCAAGTCCACAGAGACCAGGCTGGATATGAGAAGATGGAAGCTCCTGGTAATTATACGAAGCAGAGAAGCCAGATCCACTGAAAAATACAACTCACGTCAGCAAAAAGAACAAGTGCTGCACACATGCCTTCAGATACTTTGGGGGGCTCTGCTAAGACCTCTAGAACTCAAGTCCAAGAGAAGCCCCCAAGGCAAGTTCTCTCCTCTCCCCTCTGCAGCCCTCCAGACCTGCTCTCCTGATATGACATGGTAGCAGCTAGCAAACACATCCTTAAGGTGAGAAATATTACTTGAATTTTCTCTTCTGGGCTTTGGTAAGTGCTTGTTTTATAGCTTTCTAGAAGGCTGACTGCAAGTGACTTTAGGAAAGAACATTAAGGTTACTAAGATCAAGAGTTTGCATCTGGAACCACCCACCAGGCCCCACCCAGCCTTGACTGGACCTGAGTGTTTATGTATAGTCCCTCTCAGCTCACATTCAGCCTCTACCTGTCTATGTCATGTGGCAGAAGCCCCTGAAACTCCTGAAGAAAGGGTCATGGCGAGCCATAAGGGAAACACAGAGTTATAAAGTTTATGTAGCTAAGAACCCTCCCCATGCAGCTGCTCTGGCATATAGCCAGCCCATCCTTTCACCAACAATAGTACTGACACCCCCAGCTCCAGCCACAGTGACACAGGCTGTGGAAAACACCAGCTCGCAAAACAAGCAGAATTAGGTTGGAACTAGCAGAGAAACCACATGCAGCACACTCCCACAGGGAGCTCCAATCCATGATACTTAGCGAAGCAGATGAACACTCCCGACACAAGGTGAGAAAACTCAAGAGAACAGGGAAGCAGAGTATGAGTGCCTCTTACCCCCTGCTGACACTGGAACTGTGCACCCCAGAGGTGTTAGTGCTATCACCATTTGCAACGGGAGAGGCGGATACTGAGGAAGAGAGACTCGCTGATGATTTTGGAGAGGTAGTAAAATTTCTGCTAGGTGCAGTGGTTGATCTGGGAGAAAAAAGTAGAAACAATGCTACTGACTTTTTGCAAAGTGCAAGCCCTATTTAACGCCTTAGATCTCTTCTCAGAAAACATTCTCTGAGCCAAGTGTGGTAGAGCACGCCTGTGACTACAGCACTAGGGAGGCTAAGGCAGGACAATTGGCATGAAGGCAACCTGGGCTACAAAATGAGTTCACCAGCAGCCTGAATCACAAAATAAAGACCTTCTCAAAGAAAGATTTACCTTTTCTGCAATCATTTAAAATAAACTATAAAAATCCTTTTGCATTAATACTTCAAGATAAACTGGGGCTGGTGAGATGGCTCAGTGGTCTAAAGCACCTACTTGGAACAAGCTTAGTAAACCACAGGGACCACGGTTCAATCCCCCAGCACCACATGCCAGCCCGCCCCGCCCCCTGGTGGGCTGAGCTGGCCACACACACACACACACACACACACA